GTCTTCTCAGGTCGCTCTCACGGATTCTCTCTTGAATGGCCTCGCAAAGTCTTCAAGCGATGAGGGATCTAATCCCCTCAAGAGGAGAAACACCGATGTTGGAGTCGACTATCCACGCCGGAGGGCCACAATTGCTGTAAGTATCAATAATTAAGCGACCGGATTTCGTTTGCTCATCCATGTCTGACTGGCTTCAGTGTGAGGTCTGTCGATCAAGAAAGTCGCGCTGCGATGGGAATAAGCCCAAGTGCAAGCTCTGCTCCGAGCTCGGTGCTGAATGCATCTATAGAGAGCCGGGGATCAAGCTGGATGCTGGCGACAAGCTGATTCTAGAGCGTCTCAACCGTATCGAGACGCTCATTCAGTTAAACATGGTCAATAACTCAGCGACTGGGATTAACCTCAGTTCCGACTCGCCCTCAATGAGCAACGGCACAATGAACGGCGAGAGTGCCTTGCTGAACCCGGGCAGCCAACATGCATTCACCAATCTCATCCCCAATGGTGGCTTTGGGACTTGGACGCAACAGCCCACCACGACCAACATCAACACTATGCCCAAAATCCACACAAATGCAGCAATGCACCTACTTCAATGGCCTCTCATTCGTGATCTTGTTTCACGCCCCTATGACCCTCAAATACTGCTTCAACTGGAGATGGCAAGGGAGCCGTTGCACTCGCTGACCAAAACGCCCTGTGTGGATTTATCCAATACCCAGGCCTATATCGAGGCCTATTTCGAGCGTGTTAATATTTGGTACGCTTGCGTCAATCCGTATTCGTGGAGAAGTCAATACCGCACTGCCCTGTCCAACGGGTTTCGAGAAGGCTCTGAAAGCTGCATTGTTCTTCTTGTTCTGGCTCTTGGCCAAGCAAGCCTTCGAGGAAGCATCTCACGAATCGTACCTCAAGAGGAGCCTCCCGGTTTGCAATACTTCACCGCAGCTTGGTCTCTTCTCCCGGGCATGATGACTACAAATACAGTATTGGCTGCACAATGTCACCTCCTGGCTGCTGCTTACCTGTTCTATCTTGTTCGCCCCATGGAGGCGTGGAACCTTCTTTGTAGTACGAGTACGAAACTTCAGTTGCTTCTCATGTCTCCCAACCGTGTACCGGCTCATCAACGAGAGCTCATCGAGCGAATCTATTGGAACGCATTGCTGTTCGAAAGTGATCTACTGGCAGAGCTTGATTTGCCCCATTCTGGTGTCGTTCAATTTGAAGAAAATGTCGGTCTGCCTGGCGGTTTTGAGGGCGAAGAGGGCGAGAAGGTCGGAAAGGACGAGCTGTGGTATTTCCTTGCTGAAATTGCACTGCGCAGGCTTCTCAACCGAGTCAGTCAACTGATCTACTCGAAAGACTCTATGGCTACGACTTCGAGCCTGGAGCCTGTTGTGTCGGAGCTTGACTATCAGTTGACACAGTGGTACGAAAGCTTGCCCCTTGCGCTCCAGTTTCCTTTTACGCGAACGGTCCTTCAGGACCAGGTGCAAACCGTCTTGCGGCTTCGCTTCTTTGCCTGCAGAACTATCATCTACAGGCCTTACATTCTGGCTGTATTGGACAATGAACAGGCGGTCCTGGATCCAGTGGTGCGTGAGAATTGTCACAAATGTCTTGAAGCCTCCATCAGGCAACTCGAGCATATTGTAGAACAGTGAGTGCCGTCCGGCGGGTTCTTCCGATTTCCCTTTGTTTGATTTACCGCCGATGATGCTAACGTAATTAACCTTATAGCCATGCCGGCCATATGCCCTACATTTGGCAAGGGGCCTTGTCGATGGTATCACAGACACTTCTGGTTATGGGGGCTTCGATGTCACCATCTCTTCTAAACATTATCCTAACGTTGCTTCCGCACCGTGAAGCACTCGACCAAATGATTAACGACGTCATTATCGAGGTTGAAAGTTACGCAATGCTTGCTCCAAGTCTCAGTCTTGCAGCAGAAATCATCAAGGAGGCCGAGTTGAGGAGGCGAACGCTCCTCAGCACGTAAACCGCTATATGTGTGATTAACAGATCGGACACTAGGGCAGGCATATTCGGCGCACCTCTAGGAGAAAGAAAGGCTGAACGGGATGACACTTGGACATAGCTGGTGACTCTGTCCACAATGCCATCGCCTCATTCCATCAGGCCACAATGAGTACACATTGGGCCGATTGGTCGGACTGGGAGACGAGACCTACCTGCCTCACAACCTCGAATCTCGAAGCCTGTTCTCTGATTAACTTAACGTATACGAGAATCATATCAACCCGCTCCTGGAATTGTTTTATTTATCACATTTTCGGCCTTCTACAAACAAATGTTGCCTTCTTTCTTTCTAATCATTGAGAGAATTTAACATGAAACAGGCAGTCGAACAATTTTGGCCCGGCATTACTCAGCAGAAAGAGATCTGACATTGAAAGAATGTAGTGTATCTCCTCTTTGATAGAGGGATTTTCGATACTGCACGGAACGAGAAGGTGAGCAGACTTATGGAGAGGGGAACTATACCCAGTTGGAAGGGGAAATTGTGCAACAATGTGCCGCATGTACTGAATTGTTACTGAATCATGTATGGCTACAATACAATGTTTCAAATGGCGGGATTCTTATGATTTGAAGCGCAGGAGTCTGATTGGCATTGGATATACACTATTGCAGTTCTGGATGGGCATATTAGAATGCTCTATAGTGATGCCGAGATGTACATTAGTGCTTGCTGGATGGACTCAAGAAGACGGAGATACCCATTGAAACGAATATGGAGGTGGACAGCAAGGAGCAATCCTTAAATTACATGTTACCAATTGCAGCACCTTTAATGGTCACACGGACCCAATTGCAAGACCAACCTGAGGAAGCTTGAGGGTACGGTGCGAGAGCTGGAGTGGTCAGTCGACCCTCGGCGGAGCTTGGGCTGGCAAGCTGGCGAGCAAGGGGTGGCGATGTGAGAGAATAGACGACTCTGCATCGTGCGATTCCGGTGCTAGTCGTGTTTCAAGCGCTGAGGGACGGATCAGGAGACTGCGAGGTGGTAACGGCTGTGGGATGGGATGGGACTCAGCAGGTGCGGAGCAGACACACAATAATCGTAGCGGGAGTGCAGTAGTGTAACCACTAAGCTACCCACCCACACGGCCCAATGGGCGCCTGCCAATGGCACCATGTTCCGACTGGCATCCGACACGCCAAAGCCCCGATGAACGGGTCGGCGATGGATGCAGATGCAAGACCGGACCTGGTGCTTAGGAGTGGCCGCAGCGAGACCACTTACCCAGAACGTACGCACCACGTACTATTGTGCTCATCTTACCCCTCTTCTTGTTCCCTCGTGTTGTTGCCACCTCCTGTGCGGCGTGAGCTGAGCTGCGATGTTGACCTGGCCGGGCCATGTGTCGCTTCTCATTCGGGGTTTAGCACAGCTCAGGTCTCACCTGGTGGAGATGGAGCCCACACACGTGACGGTACATTGTGTTGTCTGTTTGCATAACTGCGGGCATATCCTGTTGTGCAACGTAGGGACGGGGGGATGTGGTTCGCCCAAGCTATTGTCTTCTTGCCTATATCCAGGAGAATGAGCTCGATTCCAACAATGTGATTGGGAGCTCATGTCCTGACAGGCACAACTCATCCAGGAACGGCCCGGTGAGGTGTTCCGGTGAGGTGGCTCTTGGGGGAGGGGGGGGGAACAACACCACTTGACAACATGAGAGCAACACAACAAAGAAGAGAGAGCGGGCCAAAGGTACGATTGTTCGTGCTGAGACGGGATTGGCCGCCGTCGGTACCTCTGGTCCTGTATGCACACATCCATTTCCCCCTCTCAGCGCAAGTAGGTACGCGAGCAGAGCTAGGGCAGGCAGGTATAGCAATTGGCTGCTATAGGCGGATTAGTACCTACCTACCTAAGCTACGTACGTCTACACCTCCATACTGTACACAAGACACAGGACACAAGATACAGGACACGAAGGGAGCTACTACGTACCTGGTAAGATGCATCTGGTGATGCAAAGTGGGAGTAGGGATTGGTACTCTGTAATAACCGGTACCTACCTGCCTTGGCATTCCTTTTTGGGGCCAAGCCAGGTACAGAAGCGGCTGGTCTGAGTCGTTGGTTGTGTGACAGAGATGCCCCCCATTAACGCGCCTTGCTGGGGTTCTGAGCAGCATCACTTGACCATAGCGGCAGGGCAGGCATTAGGGGCGATTGAGCCTAAATAACCCCCCAACCCCCTCCCCCCTCCGATTGTGCTTCCCTCCGTCAACAACCATCGCGGTCTCTTTGATCCGCGGTTGGAACTCATCTTTACCACCCCTTTTTCTTCTTCAAATTGGTTCGGTGTTGGATCAGGGCGGCTGTCTAGGTATCTAGCAGCCCAACGGATCCGACGCCTCGTTCTTGCCCGGAGGGTGGGATGGCCCATGTGCGCCTTGCACACCCATCTCCAACAGCTCCCAAACTAGTCGGGGTGGATGCGAAAACCTCGACAGCATCGTGGACGTTCTTGACTGGCCAGCACCCTGCCTGCACGATTGCGTTGCCACATTCCAGCCCAAGGTCCCCCCTCTACCCCCCGGAAACCAGGCTGGGCCGCAGATAAGCTATGAGGCAACATAGAGAGGACCCCGACCCACGACGACGACGACAGCAACAGCCCTACTATGGCGAACCCGAGAGCACCACACGAAGCTATGGAATGCCACTCCAATCGTCGTCGTACGACTCTGGCCGGCAGTACCACCTCTACAAAGAGTCGGAGGAGAAGGCGGCCAACAGGCGGTCTAAGGGACGGCGCTCATCAAACGGAGGCAGCGATTTCCATATGCCGCCGGCGGTGCCAATGGCCGCCGCGCCCCGACCACCTAGAACATCTGGGTTCAGACAAGAACGGTCTTTCGGTTATGAGAATGACGTGGAACCGAAGAATTCTCCTTCCACCCGCCGACGACATTCAATGAGAGATGAGCTCCATACCCGGCCTCGTACGGCAGCCCGAATGGCCGAGGCGGCCCCGCACTTGGGAAACTTCTCTGATGAATCACTTGATACCAGCAGTGAGGATGACGATGATGACGACGACGACGAGTCAGAGGAGGATGAGAGCAGCGACGTCTCGGATCCCTCAGACAAAGAATCCGAGGCTGATGACGAAGCTTCGCTGAGAAAGGGCAGGAAGGCACGGGAATATATGTCAGGGACGTCTGAGGATGATGATGAGGATGATGATTATGATTATGAAATTGATGAAGTTGATGATGAAGAAGACGAGATACCTGCTCCGAAAAAGGTATATGCTTTGCCGGAGAACACGGACGACGACGAGGAGAGTCCATCTCCCCGTCCCCGAAGGAAACTAAGGAATCCCCGACGACCGGCCAAGAAGTCAGCCGAGGATCACTCGACCCCCAGGGCGATTGAGCCTTCCTCCCCCAGACGTCGTAGGAATGCCTCGTCTCCTCCCAGAGTCCCGTCTTCGCGAGCGTCGACCGCTGCGGCGGCGGAGCTCATGTCGGAGATTTCACCAAAGAAGTGAGTCTAGGCGATTGCCGATGCACAGGGTGACGGGCTGGACCTTTACTGACCCGACCTTTCCAGATCTGCTAAGAAACGTGATGCCGCTCGTCAAGAGGCCCGCCACGAGGCCCGCCATGATGCCCGCCATGAGACTCACAGAAAGGCCAAAATGGCAAAGTCGAGCCGGGGAAGTCTGCAGTCCTCCAACCGCCAGTCTAGCGTCATGCTTTCCAGCACTAGCCAGCCAATGACCCCAGATAGCAGAAGGGAAAGGCCGCGTAAAAGGGAGAAGCACAGAGAGGAGAAGCCTGTCAAGAAATCCTCGGCATCGCGTGAGGCGCGAGATCACCATGAGCACGAGAAGCCGGTAAGACGCCAGCGGCGAAGAACCAATGAAGAGGATGACTACCGCCACCACGGTCATGACGAGGACGCCATGCCACAGAGATTCATGGACATGACACTTCATGAAGAGCCATCTGACATGGAAGACGACGATGACGAGGCTGTGGGGATGGAAGTTGGACTCGGCATCTCTCCTACTAGCCGGCACAGGAAAGAGCAGCACAAGAAGCGCAGCAAAGGGAAATACAGAAGTCAACAGTCGACTACCATGCAGCCGCCGCCACCGCCTGCTCCAGAGCCGCCAAGGAGAAAGTCGGTTGATGTGTTTGATCAAGAGCCCGCAACGTTCCAGCGAGCGGACACATTCCCATCTCCCCAATCAAAGTCATATGAATCAAAGTCGTACGAAAGAGGGCCCTATGTCACAGAGGTCCCCAGGGCCCGAGGCTCCAGAGGGGGTTCTATGGAGAGACGCCTTGCTGACCGGTTCTCTGAGAACCGGCAAGGAATGCCTCCCCGACCAGATATCCCAATGGCACCGACCGTGCCCATGTCTCCGATGATGCCTGGGGCCCCTCCTCACTCACAGATGCCAGGGGCACCGTTCGGTGCCCCTCACATGGGGATGCCGATGAGAGGTCCTGGTAATGTGCCTCCGCCCATGATGATGCCTCCTCACATGCCACCTCAACCGCCATACAGCACTGCTGCTTATGGCCACTCATACGGAGCCGTTCCAGCGCCGTCAAGAGAGCACATGCATTCTTACGAATCGGAGCACAGGCACCGGCACGAGTACGATGATGTCCCCCGATCATCATCCAAGATGGCAGGGCTCGACGGAACCGGGGCCGGAATGGACCGTGTTGATGAGTGGCGGCGCTTCGTTGAAGCAGGAGGAGGGCAGGATGAGCTTCGCACATGCTGATCCAAACCTCTTGTCAATATTTATTTTACACTGATGACTCGGATGACCTGGCTTTTTCATTTATTCACATGTTTGGTTTGGTATCTTTTCTTTACTTATTCGGATCCATTTCCCTCCTGATACGAGAAGGAGTAGCCAGAATGATAGTTCCACCCACATGTAGGTCATCAACAACTACCGCACTGATTGATTGATTGATTGATTGCATCTACAGACCTCCTTGTCTCGACAGACACTGCATTTTTAGAATATATACAAATAGACGCATAAGTAGTACTAGGAATACTATCCATATTTTACCGCATCTTAGCCCGGATGAGCAAAGTGCCATGGTCCACGCCTCATGCATCAGGCCTCTTTGGTTCAGCATGTGCCGCCTGCATATGCACCTGACTGCGAAGACCGGCCTGCTTTGCACAAAGCCATAAGCCGCCCCAGTCTGACGGGCGCCAATCCTCCCGATGCTGGAGGCGAATGAGGGCACGAGAAGAGCTGCGGCGCGCGCATGCTTCGGAATTCCTCGCTGGACTCATTCGCCCTCTTCGCCCTAAAGGCACTGCACTGCCATGATCACTCACTCACTCCTGCTCAGTGTCTTTAGCGGGGTCGGACTCGCGGGAGGCGCCCAAACCCCGCTAAGCCCCACCGCTATGACGGAAGGGATAATTCATCTAGACCGATTGATGTGTGTTTATGCATGAGAACAAGCACATCTTGCTATCTGGGAAGCCCCTGCCAGCACATCGACTCGGACATGGGAACTGGCGGGAGGGATCAATGCGAGACGAGAGATGCTCTGTGTGTTGGCCATGCACTCTCTGGCCAAGTCCATCGATCTGCGCAGGTCGGTGAGGGAGGCCCGCTTGTCACTTGACTGCGCTCAGGCAAAGCCGGCTCTTGATCTGGGTGCCAGGGTAAGGTTAGGTAAGGTAGGTGCGTACATAGTTTCGGAAGCGGCTGTGGCGGTGCAAGAACAGGAACCAGTTACATTCAAACGTGCAATCTAACCTGCTGTTGGATTTCAACGTGCACACCTACGTAATTCGGGAGCAGAGTGGGAGCACCAACGGGGACCGACCAGGGCCCGGCAATCTTAAAGTGCCCGGGCAGGTCCCCTTTTTTCCCTTTATTATCTAGATGAGATAACGAAGGAGTTAAAAAATAGGATTAACAGCAAAGGCGTCGAGAATACGTATATGTAACTGTGTACTTGCTCATGCAGGCGTGCCCATCGATTGTTTCATTCCGTGAATCCCGAGCCTGACATGTGCGTAGCGATTATGTTGTCAGAAAGCCAGTAGCTTCCCCCCCAACAACATTTCGGTCTTTTTTTTTGCCTGGACACCCTAAAACGGGGGTCACGTCACACGAGCTCGCCTCACTACTCCACGACAAACCCGAAACCGAGGAGCCCGTTTCTCTCATCCTGCCTTCCCGTTTCCTGCGTGAACGGGAGGCATCCCATCTTCCTCGACCTTCCTCGAATTGCCTACAAGAATCGGGAAGAAAAAGAAGAAAAAAGATGCTGCTCGTCTACCAGACCGGGAGCGTCAAGGTCGGCGAGGTGGTGCGGTACACCGTCACCTACACCCCGTCGCGGGACCGCATCCTGCCCTCGCCCGAGAAGCTCTACGTGCGCATCCGCAACACGTGCGCCATCGCCCTGCGCGCCGCCTTCGTCCACGGCCCTTATACCCTCTCGGTGGCCGCCTACCCGTCAAACTTCAACCCGAACGAGCGCTTCGCCAACCCGCGCCGCTATGGGGTCCCCGAGTTCGAGCCCATGCTCAAGGCCGGCGGGTCGTGGGAGGGGGAGCTGACGGTGCCGGACGACGTGAGGCAGAGCGCGGGGACGGGCGCGCACGGGGGGTTCGGGAAGGGACCGGGCCATGAGGGGGAGTGCGCGAGCTGGATTATAGAGGTGTCGTCGCAGATCCTGTTCTCGACGTCGGCGGCGGTCGCGTACGAGGTCATTGTCGCGAGGGACAGGAAGTCGCTCGACCTGGGCGGGGTGTCGCTGCCTGTCGTTTCGGGGCAGAGCAAGGTGCCGCAGCCGGGGAGGCTGGAGGATTACCAGCAGCAGGGGACGACGGCGGCGGCCGCAGCGGCGCATAAGCATCACGAGGAGCACCACTCGAAGGGGGTCTTCTCCCGCGCGGTGCAGCTTAAGGTGGAGGATACGGAGGCTTTGTGGAATACGCCGCGGGCGCCGGTGTGGAAGGATAAAAAGAAGAAGAAGGAGGCGGAGGCGGGGGAGCCTGCGGGAGGGAACGAGGACCAGACGGCCGAGTCGAAATCAACTGAGTCGAAATCACAGGAGGGGTCTACTCTCCACGTACGGCAGAAGAAAGTACATTTGGTTATTCTCACACATGGGTTGCATAGTAACTTGGGGGCTGATATGCTGTTCTTGAAAGAGAGCATTGATGGTGCTGTGAAGCAGGCCAAGATCGATGCCAAGAAGAGGAGAGCCAAGGAGCGAGCTGAGAGGCAAGCTAGTGAGGCGAAATCAGAGTCCGGTGTGTCTCAGCCAGATTCGGCAAATGGCGATGGTACTCCGGAGAAGGCGGACCAGGTCAATGTTGATGATGATGTATCTGACGACGAAGACGAGGACGAGGAGGTCATCGTGAGAGGATACTCTGGCAACGCCACGAAGACAGAGCGCGGTATCAAGTACCTCGGTAAGAAGCTGGCACGGTATGTGCTCTCAAACACGTACCCGGATCAGCCTTACCTCCCCCTGGGGAAGGGTGTGCCAGCGCCTTATACGACACAGGATCCTAAGGACCCCAAAGATCCCAAAGATCCCAAGGATGCAAAGGCTGAGGCCGAGGTTCCCGAAGATAAAAAACAACATGGCACAGGTCACCCAGGGGGTTGGCATGGACATCATCCCCAAGTACGCCCTCGATCGTTCAAGATAACCAGCATCAGCTTTATTGCCCACTCACTCGGCGGCTTAGTACAAACATACGCCGTCGCCTATATTCAGAAACACTCGCCCGAATTCTTCAACCTTATTAAACCTATCAACTTCATTGCTCTTGCCACACCATTCTTAGGACTTAGCAATGAAAACCCGATGTATGTCAAGTTCGCTCTAGACTTTGGTCTGGTCGGACGGACTGGAAAGGATTTGGGGCTCGCCTGGAGAGCCCCGACGCTTGCCAGGAGCGGCTGGGGGGCTATCGTGGGTAACCTTGGCGAGACAGCGCACAAGAAGGTTTATGGAGAGTCCCAGCCAGAGTCGAAACCCCTATTACGGATTCTTCCAACTGGGCCTGCACATACAGCATTAAAGAAGTTCCGAAATCGGACCGTGTATTCGAACGTTGTCAATGACGGAATCGTGCCGCTTCGCACGAGCTGTCTACTCTTTCTAGACTGGTACGGTCTTGGCCGGGTTGAAAAGGCTCGCAGAGATGCCGGCCTGGTCGAGACTGTCGTTGGGTTCGGGTGGGCAGAACTTACCGGGACCAGCATGGCCAACTCTCGCCAGAGGCAGCTATTGTACGATGAGCCGGCGCCCGTTGCTGACGGGACAGAATCGCCCAAGGAGACTGGAGAGGATATGCGCCAGGTGCCTCAGCCTTCCGAGGACGCCGTTCAAGAGGACGAGAGAGCCAGTATTAGTTCAGTGCGGACACCATATTCTGAAATTGTCAAGTCAGAGAATGGAGAAGGTGTGGGCGGCCCCTTCTCATCCTTCTTTAATCTATTCAAGAACAACGATCCACCGAAAGAAGAGCCTATATCAGATAAGCAAAAGAGGATATACAGCATGAGCCAGACGCTCCAAATCACCGACGATTCTTCTTCCGCAGTGGCTTCTAGCGATACAGAAGCTCCCCCACGCCCAATGATGGTGACTACGGGACATGAGCTAGAGGAGGATGCAGGAGGTATGAAAGCCCCTCCTCGAACCACCGTCTTCGAATCTGCGGGCGATCTGCTCAATCCCAAGATCCCGGACATGGACTACATCCTCGACCCTGCAAAACGGCCTAGAACCATCTTCCACGACCGAGTCTATCATCCGACCGACATTCCAGCATCTCCTATCAAGGCAGGTACGTCTCCTTCAGTACGCAGGAGACTATCACGGGTAAGCACATGGGGTTCGTCCCAGAAACCACCAACCGTCAGCTCACAGTCGTCATCCTCGTCAAAGCAGGAGTCATTGCAGCAACCCTCGGAAGATAGCGAAAACAGCGCCGATGCCGCAAAGAGGCGGGATTCTGAATCATCGACCATGCGTGTGGAGGAAAAGATTGCACGTGCCTACCACTACGACCTCTCATGGCGCAAAGTTCTCGTGAAGCTGGAGCCAGACGCGCACAACAACATCTTCGTCCGTCGCATGTTTGCCAATGCGTACGGCTGGCCGGTGGTCAAGCACATCGTCGATGCTCACTTCAGCGACTCGGCCCTAGCTCGCATGCGGACGGAGGACGACTTTTTGGGTGAACTCTCTAAGGACGTGAACCAGCCTCCCGACGAGCATGGCGGCGAGACCATCTCTACTCCCCGCCTCACTGCGAACGTGGACAACCCGCAGTCACCAGGTACAGAGGCTGACGCGCAGGAAGCGCTGGATAAGGTATCCAACCTTCCCGAGTCGTACCAGGAACAACCTAAGCGGTTTCAGTTCTCACGGGCCGACTCGGTGACGTGGAGCGACCGGGACTGGGTGGACAGCGAGAACGAGAGTGACCTCGATTCTACGGCGGAGAGCAAGGCTAAGGCCAAAGCCAAGAAGAAGGAGCAGCAGCAGCAGAAGGAGGAGGGTGGGAGCTCGGCGGCGACGGACTGGAACTGGAAGGAGAAGATTGTCGGCAAGGGCAAGAAGAAGAAGAGCGTCTCGCTCTCGTCAGAGGGGAGCAAGGCCAGCACCATAGATAAGCGATAGATCACACATTTGGCTCGGGCGTAAACGGATTGGGGTTCGGAATTCTCTAGCTGGCCTGTTGCTTTTCATACTGCTATTACCAATTCACCATTGTTTTCTGTTCCTCGATCGATCCTTAGGGGTGTTTAAACACCCTCTTCGATTCCATATTGGTGCCATCATGTGCCTTGCTCTCAAGTTTTTCTCCTTAGCTCAAATTTCAAACTACTACTACTGCCATCACCACCGTGTCTTGATTCCTTTCTCTGGTCAGTCTCTAGGAGTCTTTGGCTCCCTTTTTCATCTCTTTGCTCAGGGTTTGTACCTGGCTCTCGAGATTCAGAAGCCCTTTTGCCATCGTATCGCACTGGCTTCTGATGTTGTTGAGCAGGTCGAGTATCTTATCCTCAGGACTCAATTTTGTCAACAATTTAACTTCGTTCATAACATCGTTCATCCATTTTTTTATGTTCGCTTCCGTAAAGTTACTGTGTTCCGTCGCAGCAACATCTTGCAGCTTGTTCTTTGTATCCTCAGCCGTCGAATGGATGTCCTTGAGAAGCTTGTCCATTCCCTCGATGCTGGCCCTGACGCTTTCGAGCTCCCTCTCCGCGGGCTGGCTAGTGGGATATTTCGAAGGTGGGTAGGATTCCGTGGAATAATCCCATCCTGGATATTCCGACTCGACGGCTGAGAGGAGAAAGTTGCACCTCTTCATCTTTTCGAGTGGGTAAAGCGTTTTGAGCATCATGATTCTGATGAAGGAAGGGTCCTCACGAAAGTTCGCGGCTAATTTATGCCTGTGAATATCGTTGAAGGTTGCGTCGCTCAGTCTGAGCATGTCCATCAGCTCCATACATTTCTTCTGAATATCCACGGTCCACTTTTGCGATTCGATCGCGGTGTCCATGAAAGCCACGAACTTGGTGCAGAACATGTGATGGGCCATATGCTTAGCCTGTACGTCCCAGGTAATAGAAGCGTGGAGATTCTTGGGTGGCGCGACGGACAATGTGCCGTCTTCATGGTCAAGTTCCTGTGCCTTTCTTTTTCTTGGAGGAAGAGGAGCGTGATTCGATGATGAATCCATCTTGAAGGCTCGGGGTGGTGTTGTAACGGAGAGAGTTGGAAGGGATAAATCGAAAAGCTGTGCAAAAGATATAGTACGCTTCACTGACAATAATCACTACCATGATCAGCATGGAATCACTTTTTGTATTGTGCACTTTGCTTGCGTTTCGTTACTTACAGTGCCAATTGTTTTCAATTTTATCGAAGGGCAATGTCGGTGGTCCTGGTGTGTTAAGTTTGATGTCCTCGTACTGGCTAAAGACAGATCGTGTGATAGATCATGAGCATTAATGCCCTGCGAAGGCCTTACTGATTAGCATGTAGAAGTAAAAGAGGAAACTTTGAGATTTGAAAAGGGAAAAGTTGTTGATAAGTTTGGTTTGACGGGGATGTGAGATGCACTGGCGACTTAGTGAGAACAATCTCAGATGCTGCTCAGACGATACATCGGGAGCCGTTGGGTGTTGGGAAAGGACAAATCAGAATGAATTATGCTTCCCCAAGTCTCGCTTGCTTGCGAGTCTCAGAGAGAGACATACAATCACTGGGTATTCACGAAAAAAGAGATAATGATGCAGGTTCTAGTGTATCTTATTGGCATTTGAGGAGCAAACTAATCATCCGTCATCCCTCCGAGCCCTCACTCCTTTCCAATCCTAACCTGGCCTCGATGATCTTGACAATTTCTGACCACTCCATCATGGCACCGCTTCCCAGATCACCGCATGCTAATAACTTGGTCGCCTGCGGTTGCAAGACCTCGATCCAGCCCGTCTCCTCCCCCGTTTCTTCGTTCGTCCTGACTCCCCAATCCTCTTCCAGTACCCTGATTTGCCGCTCCGTGACAGGATGGCGCCACATCGCGGTATTCATAGCAGGAGCAACTAGCATCCGCTTTCGCTGTCCATCAACCTGACCATCCGTATCCCATGCGCGGCACACTGAAAGTGCGAGATTATCACTCATCCCATTCACGAGCTTGGCCAGGCTGTTCGCGGACAGGGGCGCAATCACCATTATATCAGCCCAGCGCCGAAGCTCAATGTGTAGGACTGGACCTCCGCGGCGCCAGGGCTCCGGCCCCCATTCCGAAGCATCGTCGTAGATGGCTTCCACTCCCGGGTAAGAGAGCAGGGAGGTATAGTGTGGCTGCTCCGTGGCCTGCCCCCCCAGAAAATGCTTGGCATTAGTAGTCAGGATGAGTCTTATTGAGAGTTTGTGGGTGTGGGGGGCGAGAGCCTTGATGATATTGGGAATCTTGATCGCAGCGACGGAGCCTGTTGCTACGAGGAGGAGATGGAGGCGGTCGTCCGTCCCTGACGGAGGGAACTCGGTGGCGTTACCCCTCAACACCTGGCCGCTGTCGTTGCGTTTGCCTTCTGTTTCTCCCATCTTGAAACTGTGGTTTTCACTTAAATGGTATTGTTCTGCAATGCTTTGTGTGAGATGAAGACGGAGGTAGTCTTGTAGTCACGTGATTCTTTGAAGCGTGCCTGAGCACTATTCTTTGAGTTTATGACTCTTCTTCAAAAAGAAGAATGAAGAGGAAAATAAAGTTTGATTTTATTCATATCGTCCGTTAAAAGCTTATGCTGAGTTAACAATTGGGTTTGTCAGCATCATTGGTTACGAAGATATTCCTACTCATCGTCACTCAAGTAGAACAGGATTAGTAGGATATTGCCCGCATATGGATGAAGCTTGAAAATTCGACTCCATACTGCTTTGTCATTCTTTAAAACCAGATATACCATCGGTGAGTCACAAGTGGTACGTCCCTAAGCTATCCAAAGTCAAGCGAGGCGTTTGGTATGGCATTGTGTTGGTCACTTGCTCCTAGGAGAAGCAAGAATGGTGGGTTCTTAAAAAGCAAAGAGAGGGAAAATAGGTCTCTCTATGCATTGCAGTTTGTGCATATCCCTTGAAACCAACTGGGTTGACAGATCACGCCGACTTCTGAGGCTGGTTGACAACATTATACCCTTCTAGCCCACCCAAGACCAAGTTGTAATCACGATCTAATCTGAGGCAGGTAGGCATGATACCAAAAGGAGTCACTGACGGAAAACCGAGTATGAGACAAGCCACGACATTTTCATTCATTAGTCGTATCCGTGAGAAACAACTGAAAAACAGAATATAAAAACAATTTACGCAGCCTTCTTGGCAAACTCCACCCTGAGAATGAGATGCTTGAAACCGAACCCGTCCATTTTGTTGCATGCCTTGACTGCATCGCCCCGGTCTGCAAAGCTGATGAAGGCGAAGCCCTTGGCCATGCCAGTTTCTCTGTCCTTGGCAAGGAATACACGTGTGACGCGTCCGAACCGCTCGAACATATCCCGCAGCTCGCCCTCCTCTGCCATCTCGGAAACCTGAAAGAAAGATGTTAGCCTGATGTGTATCTTGAAACCGGCTCAAGGTGATACGTACGTTCGTGACACGCAGCGTCGCGAGATCGTCCCTCTCTCCGAACTTGGATCCACCCATGCGCTCGCCGGCACCGCGACCTCCATCACGCAGAGCAGGGGGAACGTAAGATCCCTTCTTGCCAGCGGCAGCAGCACCAGGGCCCTGGGCGGCGGCTTGCTCGTCGCCCATACCTGCCGCGACATCGGCGGCGCCGTTCTCGCCGACGGGCGCCATGGTGTCCTTGTACGGACACCTGGCAGTGAAATGTTCTCCGCTGCAAATACGACACTTGACCTTCTTGTCCTTGAGCTTGTCCTTGAGCTGGTCCTGTGCGTCGCCCTCCTCCTTGGCGTCCTTGCGCCAGTTGAAGCTAGGTCGGAAGATGATGTTCTCGCCGACGGATGTGGTATCGGGAGCTGGGCCAGCGCCGTCCTTGGCGCTCTGGCCGAACTTGCCCCATGTTTTTCGATCGGCTACGCGGGGGTTGACGGTCTCCTTGTGGGTGATGTAGCGGATTCGGCGGGTGAGCTTGACCTTGTTTCCATCCTCGTTGACGCGGAAGGAGATGATGGTCTTGGTTCCGTCCTTGTTGGTGATGGTCTGGGGGGGAGGGAGGTCGGAGGAGGTCTCCTCGATGTCATCATCGTCGGCCCAGTCGTGCCTAGCAGGAGGTTAGATACATTTCTTATAGTTATGAGCAAAAGATGCGGCAGGTCTGGCTGGATGGATACCCAGGCCAGAAACATGCATCGTGGTTGGTGTGGGCGGCGGGCGAGTGAAGGAGGGGGTTTTTTCCAGGGATTTCTTACTTGGGCTTGTTTGCTACGGCAGCAGCCATGTTGAAAATCTGAAAGTCGAAATCCTTCTATATGTCCGGTTCTGTCGCGCGATTCGAAAGCCGTATTTCGCCGTTGGTCGCCTTGTCCGTATCGCGGGGATTTCGTCTTGAAGCGAATTTATCAGTATTTCGCATTTGAAAATTGTATGTGGGCATAACCACGATAGTGGGGTGAAGCGATATCCAGCCACATCTAGGTGTGGCTGCTGTGGCGGTAAATGTCACGTGATGCATGCTTCCAGATGATTCACGAAATCAGTCAGCCTCTCTCCCTCTTTCTCTTCCTACGAGAGCGTTGCAACGCAATTATTGTCACTTATAATTGTGCCACTAGATGACGCTAGAACCGTTCGATCCGGGTGGTCTTGCCGTACGTAAGCTACTGCCGCAATGTTGTCTTGCTATGGCCGCCCGTCCGGCTAGAGTACATATTTCCCCGGATTGAGGCAATCACCACCGCTTTCAGTGATTTCTAGGCTCCATCCAGAAGCTTTTCTCTTAGTTGAATCTCTTTGCACTTTTATCATGCCAGTTGTTTCGAATTACCGTGTGAGGGTGTTGTGCGTCATGGTTCGATGTTCCATCCATAGCCAAGACCTCGGTAGCAATCGAAGATCGGACCAGCACCGTGAAGGGAATGCAACCTTGCGCCAATCCTGGAAAATGAATCTGCATCAGTCCTTGTAAAATGATTCGGCCAGATTTCCAGATGTACAAGGCAGACTCCGATATGCACAGCGAAGATCGAGGTTTGTCTTAGACTTACTGGATCCGGAGCTCGCACCTCTTTGAAGTTGACATCGCGAAATCTTTTCTGAAGATGCTAGGGAGCTATAGCTAAGAAAGGGCTTGCTTGTGCACAAAGGCGGAACTGTTATCTGTTTATACCCTTGTCTTTGGATCCCAGAAGCAGTCTAGACTAGATATTTGGGGATATGGCCGTGGCACAGACAGCTGGATACACTAACTTCAGAGCTGGCTAAATCTTGGCTGTAGGTGGTACAGCAGGTGGTGGCCAAGATAGTGCGTATGATGACATCGCGACGATTGGGAGGGAGGTGTCGTCAGCGGTCACGATGGTTGGGTGCTGATCCTGGACGAGAGCGAACCTGTGGTGGGGCCCCGAATGGCGTGGGCGCGTTCCTTGCTCAGTGCCAGGCAACGTTTCGGGACAGATCCGCCCTGCCCTTAGCCCAGTAACACCCCGGACTCTGTATCTTGTCGCCTGGACTGGGAGAGTATCTTGTTGGATCTCTAATGTGTATCTTTGGGGACGTGGTTTCTATTTCGATTGTGGGCGCATCAGGCATGAATGAATGAAATTCTGGGCGGCTAATTCACAATGGAAGCCTGCAAGCCAATGGACAGCACCTCCCAGGCTGCAGGGCGCCTGGCATCCTCCGTGGCGGTACCCAGACAGTGGGTACTATCAGTGAATGTCTGGGACTGGAATGCTGGTTAGCGAGGTCTTGGCGGCGCCTCGCGAACCCACCTGCCACTTTCCAGCTTGAATCAGCCATCGACAGCAAATCAAACACTCCCCACGGCGGCTGATAAGGTACCTTCGCGCGTTGTTCCTGCCGAAACGGTACATGCAAGCCGCCTCCTGGGGAGCGTCTCATGATGTCACAGGATGCGCCAATCATTTTAGCCTAGTGTCGTTTGCTACACAATCGCTTTTTCTTGTTAAACATGCCAATGTCTCGCAGGCGAGATTGACCGGTTTGTTCGATCGTCTGTTCTCCCTCTCTTTGTCCACGACTTTGTGT